CCCCCCCCCCCCCCCCCCCCCCCCTTCCCAGGCAGCCAGTCAGACGTCATTATCAAGTGCTGAAAGATCCCCAGAAATGACCTGCTGTATTCATGAAGATCAGAAATCAATCATACAATAATTATATGATGTTAGTAAACACATTTCCAGACATGATGAAATATACCAGTGTTATTTTATGAGATACTTAACTTATAAACCAATAACAACCTCATACCACAAAAGAATTATACGATTATAAGGTTTGATTTTCACCAGGGAGAATCAGACACCTGAAGGAGCAGCGGCTGCCGGGCCCTGAATGCCTTCCCTTTCCTTAACGGCAGCCGTGTTTAGCGTAAAATCAGAGCCATCGGAATTATTTGGAAGGGAAGCATTTCATTGCTATTATTATTATTATTATTTCAAAGGGAAGCTTTCAATCAAACATATGTGGAGAAATTTGTTAGTCTAATAAAAGTTGAAGCAACGTTTGTGTTGAAGCCAAAACTGATTAAAAAAATCCAAGAAAGGAGCTGACAGTGAAGCATGGGGGGCGGGGGGCAGCCCAAACTAAAGTTAAAGCCCAGGAGAGGGAGGCTGCACCAAAACTGGGGGGGTTAATGACAGCAGGTCTCCTTAGCATGTCAATGTGCTGCCTTTAAAATCATGGCTGCAGTTTCTCCCCCTGAATAAGCTGCAGTTCACACCTGCGGGACGTGAATCTCGCCTCTATTCTGCCGTGAATGGGACTCAAAACCCACTGCCTGTGATTGTCCTGCAAAACACCGCCCCCACTCCTGCCAGGCACTGAAAGAGTTAAGGGTGTTACACCTGTCCTATCAGACACCTGTCTCCAGGCTCCCAGCCAATCAGGAGGCGGCCGGGGAAGCTACCTGTCAGCGCATAATAAAGCCGCCGCTCTGCGGCAGGCAGAGATCAAACGAGTCCCATCAGTGCTGCAACAACATTCCTGCTCTCCTCTGCTGCACCGAGCACCGGCGACTCCCCGGGAGACCAGCTCAGCACCTTCTGCCTCCCACCAGAGTCATGACCAAGGAGATCGAGTAAGTGACTGTCTGCTCATGTCTGCTCCTGTGCCTCTGTGCTCCGCTTGGCCGCCGCTCTCCTTCCTACCTGGTATCCCTGTGCTGAGCCGTCTCTCAGTGTGACTGCGGGCTCCCACAGCCCAGCCTGGGGGCCCCTATCCGGTCGCTGTCTTTGCTAGTGCTCCAATGCTCCAGTGCTCCAGTGCTCCAGTGCAGTGTGCTCATGAGGTTTCCATGTCAGCCAGAGCCCCTGTGTTCTCGGTGCCCCGAGTCTGACACTCTGCGGGGTTACGTGGGGGCCGAGGGGGGCCCGCAGGCTGCAGTGTGTATGTGTGAAGGCTGTTCAATGGCTTATTTAAGAAGCACCATGCCACAGACATCTAGACGGGCAGATGGACAGAATGAGGTCTTCTTGTTTATCCGGAAGCTGAAGATGAAGGTGTTTAACAGATGGGGAGGGGAGTCCATTGGCTCCCCCAGTGCATGCCCTGGCAGTCCAGTGGTTTCCAGCGCAATTCAGGACCCCCCCCCCCCCGCCCCTGCACAGGGACAAATCCCGCATAGTGTAAATGTGCCCCTTGTCGCTGTAGCTGGTCTCTTGCTGTACTGGGTCGCTGCGTGCTTTGCTATCTTTACTGAGCAGACCATCAAGCAGTATGCCCAAGCAGCTGAGGAACATCCAGAGGAAATCCATTCTGGGTAAAGACAGTGGGGGCCATTCCGAGTAAAGCCCATTACCTCAGACAGCTCAGACTAGAGAACCATCCTGTGTGGTCTGGGCAACTTTGAATCTGAGGTTGAACATTTGAAATCTGTAACGCGTGTCAGGATTTTCAGAGCCTTTTCCTCAAAAATCCTTGCAGAGGAGGTGATTCTGTGTGATTTCTAAAGCAAATGAATGTGTGCCGCCTAGGCGTGTGCGTGTATGCGTGTATGCGTGTGTGCGTGCGTGTGTGTGGGTGGTGTTAAGGCTCACGTCTGTTTACTGCTGCCAGATCCGTAGACAGACGCATTAAAATTGTGGTTTTGCAATCGAAACCATCACAGCCTGCGGCAAATATCTGCTGTGCTTCAGGAGGCTAATAAAACGCCGGTGTTTGTGTTGCGAAGGCCGCACACGAGTGCAGCCAATCACAGCCTCCGTATGTCATCCCGCTCATTCAGCTGTCACTGAGTGTCACTCTCGGGGACCTGCGGCCTCCAGCCACCATACTTGTCATTTTTGCGACGTGACGATGAGATCGGTATCTGAAGACGCCCGTCTTGCTCTGTCCCACAGCGCTTTGATGGTTCTGCAGAACGAGACCTATAACTTCCCTCGATATTACGACGGCCTCATCATGGAGCCCTGGAGGCAGTACGGGGACGCCACACTGCAGGACGAGGCGCGTGCCCGCAGCCGCCTCCCCGCCGAGGACGAGGCCACTGCCCTCTCCTTCATGTGTGACCAATACAAGGTGAGTTGGCTAGGTAGAATCACCAACTCAGAAGTTATGAGACTTTCAGTTCCTCTGTCAGTGCCGAGGGACAGGATGCCATGAAACATGTCATATGCTCCGTTTCAGGCCCCTAAAGATCAGAAGATGACGCCCTGTGGTCGCAGCATGTATAAGCAGCTTGAGCGGTAAGAGACAGCAGCTGCCCTGTCCCGTCCTCATAAGGGCCAGTCGTTGAAGTTTTGACTCTTGAAAGGCACCTGTCAGGTCTGCGTGTGTGTGTGTGTGCGCGTGTGTGTGTTCGTGGAGCAGACAGACTTGCACTCTCTCTGAGCAGTCACCTGTAGAAAACTGAGGTCAGATTTAATGACTGGATAATCCAAACGTTAAACACAGGGGAGAGATTCTGAGGCAGGACACCCCATCCCACTGCCAGCACTCTGACTCACAAAAGAAATCGTCTGGTTTGCAATGAGAGCCTTTGTTCTGTGAAAAATGCCCTTCAGTTGGGAATGCTGTTATTCCCTCAATAACACTCAGAGCCAAACAAAGCTGGTCTCTGAGCGGGCAGAAAGGACGGATTAGGCCACAAGCGGCGCCCTGCCGACTGTCAGTCTGCCTGGGAGCGGCTTGGGTGCCGGGAGCAGAACGCGCCACATGGTGGCTCCACAGACGCTCAGAGGGCACTTCAGCATGCCGCCCGCCTCGCCTCCGTGCCCGTTATCTCACCAGCCCTCCATCCTGCTCCTTCCTCCCCACCAGGAGTGCCAGCATCACGTCCCCGGACCTGGCTGCCTTGGAAAGCCCCACCCACATTATGAAGCTATTCTCTGAAGTGATTACCAATGGCCAGCAGCAGGAGGCGCTGGAGCTGAACAAGAAGCTGACACCCATGTGCCCTGCCCGGGCAGCGCCGCAGACTGATGGCTACATCGAGTCCAGTGGTGAGAGCTACGACAAGCAGGTCATCAACCACATCTTCGAGTCCATTCTTCTGCCATCGCAGCCCAAGTGGACCCCTGGTGCCAGTCCCGAGGTGAGCATATAGATGGCTTTTCTCCAGCCATGAGCATGCAGACCACAAGCACCCTGTCCTGAGCCTGAGCCTGAGCCTCACCTGCTCTCCTCCATTTGGGTTCCTAGGCTGTGCACTACCCAGAATCCTACGTGGGACCAACCAGCCCTGTATACTCCTACACAAACTCCCCCTCCGAGAAATACAGGTACGCCTTCCAGGAAATCAAGTCCCAGCAGCACCTCACTGTCCATGCACTCCTGCTCCTAATAAGCAGTTGGGAGGATAGACTCACTGGATTTCACTGACTCCATCAAGCTTGCACTGTAATCAATAAGCAAAATGCTTTTCTGCTGGGCTGTATATTTTCTTTCAGACTGACAATGATTTCTTTTCTAGGAATGAGTTTCAGTTTGCCCTGGGTGCCCCCCAAGCCTCCCAGCACAAGACCAGCGAGCTGCCCATGGTCTATCTCAACAAGGGCCAGTTTTACCCCATCACCCTCAACGGGCTGGGGGGGGAAGGCGCTGGGGGCCTCTCCTGCAGCAAAGTGAAGGTGCGTCCCACTCTGACAGCCATGGCCTCTGCAAATACCCTCTGCTGATCCTTTAAGAGCCCTATGATCTCTGAACACAATGTGGACACTTTTTGGCAATCACAAAGCGGTCAGCCATAGGGCCTGAAGTACCCATCTTCTGATATGCTGCCCATTAGCATTAGCAAGAAGCTTCAGTGTGAGGGAGACCCAGGACGTGTCTCTCGTCAGTGATTAGTGAGTAAATTGAAGTCAGGTCACTGTTGTTTTTCCTGTGTGGGCCAAACCCATGCGTGTGAGGATTGGATCTGCTGATTCCCACCCGCAGTGTGACTAACCCTGACAGCGGTGGGGTGTGGTGTAGGGAGCCTGGAAGATTTCTCCATTGTAAATGGACATTACACAGAAGCATAACAACAGCCAGGGACAAAAGAGTGGGAAAATTATTGTGCCTGATGTCATCCTGATGAGTGTCAGGAAAAGCCTGCAGTTTGATTGGAGAGAATAAGCAGAGGCGGATCCTGTGCGTTTGATTGGAGAGAATAAGCAGAGGCTGATCCTGTGCGTTTGATTGGAGAGAATAAGCAGAGGCTGATCCTGTGCGTTTGATTGGAGAGAATAAGCAGAGGCTGATCCTGTGCGTTTGGATGGAGAGAATAAGCAGAGG